ATTCAGAGTAGAGGCTCACAGCTCGCTTTCAGGACTATTTTTCCAGTCTGATGAGTCGCTGCCACACATTGGTGAGGATATCTCTGTCAGGACACCGACTGCAGGCACTCGATTTCAGCTAAAGAGCTCCTCTCCATCTGTTTCAGGTTAGTGGACATCATTCAGTAAACTGTCCCGTTGGGAAATATGTCGCTACTTCACACAGTGGAGTCTCTCTGATTGGTTGATGCGGCGCGTCAAGCTGCAAAAGTTCAGATTTTCTAACTTCAGCGATTTGCACCTCAGCACGTTGAACGCTCAGATCGTTCAAATCGTTCAAATCGCGCTGCTCCAATCGCGCTTGAGGCGCCGCAGCACTTCCCAACGTTGCTTGAAGCGCGTCCACCATAGACTTTGTATGTAAACCTGAGGCTCCTGATGCTGAAATCACATTCGGTGTGAACGCACCATTACTGCCAGATGGTCCGGTTCAATGTTCAACACTTTTCCTTTGAGTTTTGTGTTGTCCATTATTGTTTTGTCGTAAATAAAACTGAACAAGATTGCACATTTAATATTATGRTCCCACATCGAAGCAGCTCTCTGCTCAATCCAAACTCAACCTGGGCCAGAGTARAGTAAAGGCCATCTGCAGCCGGGGAGGTCCGAAACGRGCTTTACAATGCAAAAACACSTATAGAGACAAACATCTGTGCTCTCACCCACAACTAGAGACAGTTTAGTTACTGGCTAACCTAACATGCATGAGTTCTGGTCTGTGGGAGGAAACCGGTATGCCCAGAATAAAACCCATGCTACACAACACAATATACTTGWCATTTCCATGACCTTGTCACGATCGCAGTCGTGGTCTAGGCACGAGGCCAGCAATAAATTGTTAATGAGCGAACCACAACAGCGCATGGGGACATCACATGTTTAAATACACTGCCATCGCTGCCACCATACTCCACCCAGGATTCTGTCAGAACAATGATAACCCAACACGACCTTGCTACAGATGTTTTGGGCATGCTCAAAACTCYACTTCTCACAAACTCTATCATTTAACATGCATTTGTACCACAAACTGAAAACCTCACAAAAAGCCAAAGTCGAAGCCGAAGTTTGTTCACTGAGGGGTCAACATCCACTGTGATTGGGGGGTGTTAAAACCTTCAGTATTTTGATTATACAACTCTATTGTATTGATGTTAAATACTTTCAATTTGAAATCATGGTTTTATTTCTGTACTTTTAGTCATATTATAAAGGCTGAATAATGCTGCTTTTGCTTTTACAAAGCTCCTAATTCTTAGCAACCGCCCACACAGACGTTTCACCTTTTCAAATTGCAAGTACTTAAATTGCCAGAGAGCCCAACAATTTGGTTTTCTAAAGGACACAAATACATTAAAGAGATAGTGCTGGCAAAAAAATTTTTAAAACTTTTATTATTGATCATCTCTCACAGTGGAAAGGTAAAAGGATGTGTCTGTGTCTCTGTTTCAATGTTTGTGTGTCCATAATATTTTATGGACCAGGGAAGAGAATTTAAAGAAAAGAAAATATTTATTTAGTGTACATCTACAGTTGTTAAATGCCAATTGACCTTTTAAAAAGACACAAATAGCTAAAACTCAATCAGTTTTACAGATATTTAGCTGAAATTAGGTGTAGAAGTATCTGAAAGCCATTCACAGGAAATACTCAGAGCGCTAACAGAATGTGTAAGATCTGACTTRAAAATTCTGCAATTACCTGAGAGCATTAAGTCTGCCTGTCTGTTAGCAAAATATCTCATGAACCACCTAAGATATTTAATTAAACTCTTGTGAACACATAATGTAGTGAAACAGAAATGACTGATAATCTTCTGTAGCCAGTCCAATTCAAGATCACTGCCAAAGCTAATCAACCTTAGCCAATAAAAAAATGACTATAACTCAAACAAATTTATAAATAGTGAGATAAAATCTGATGTGGCACATGTTCTCACTGCCAACAGGTGGCGAAGCATCATACAACACCACATGAAATACCTACAACTAACATTTTGCATCATAAGTTGATCTCAGTTTCAAACTTTGGTATGAAATGTGACACTAAAATCTAATTTGTTTCGTCTTTTAAAAAATCCATGTCCAAAAACATGGTTTGGCTGCCTTCAGGCCAAGGTCTCCCTTGAAAAAGAGATCTGAGGTCTGGTTAAATAAAGCTTATTAAATATTAACATTTTGTTCAGTTTTAGCTCTGTTTGGGTCAGGCTACTTATAATCACAGCTAGTATGTGGTCACAGGCAGGGGACATTCTGATGTGTGTCCTCTTTGTTGGTGAATCCTGCCTGATGAATCTCTCCACCTCCTAAAATGGGATTTCAGAGTGAACCTTTCCACCCGCTCTCATTTGACAGAGCCTATAATTGAACATGTCAGTGGCAATTTAACATGATCCATTTATTTACCAATCCATCCTGTGAGTCATCAATCACCTGATCCCCTGGCATGCAGCACCTCAGCTTCACACAGCAGCTCAGTGAGCATGATTGTGTGTGATGGACAGAGCACGTGGGCGGTTGTGGGACGGTGTAGGTTTGTCCAGCGTTGACCCCCACAGCGTTAGCGGACACGGTGTGCTATTTGAGCAGGCAGCGATCATGGTTATTGGTTGACATTTGGAACGGTGCCGAAGCGAGCCGGTTTGAGTCCTGAATAAAYACGGGGAAGGCTCCCTGCCCGACGCTGACCTTTGCATGAACAGGGAGGGTCAGGAAGCCTAACACTATGTTATTAAGGAGATATTATTTGTACTACCTGTAACTGACTCTTGTGGGCAGTCACCAGCGAGGCTTTTCTTGCAGCTTTTTAAAAAAATTTTATTTGAAAAACTGTTTTTATTTATTTATTTGTTGGTGTTCTACAGGTGCGATTGGAGTGGCCAACAGACCTTGCCATTAACCCTCTGGACAACTCGCTCTACATCCTGGACAACAACATTGTCTTACAGGTGAGGAAACCATAAAAATACACAAAACACGATTGTCTCATTCACTCAGGTGCATTTTTATCTACAGAAATTCTACAAACAGCTTGACAGAACAAAGTAAAAATATATATACAGGTTCCAGAGCTGTCACTGAAGATCCACTTAGATTAGGAGAGGCTTTCAACAAAAATAAAAGCAAAGGAAGAGCTCGTTAACAAAAAAATGACACACTACCACAAGTCTCGGCGGGGGCTTTTTATTAGAAAATGCCGTTCAACTCTTTCTGTGAAGTTAATAAAAGTCGGTATACGAGGCAAGGTTTTCCTTAACGACCTTTGACACGTTTAATCAATTACAATTCATCGAATCAATGGCTGATTCTATGAAGCTGATAAAGCTGCTGCTTCTGTTTTACATTGATAATAAACCACAGTCTGTRTCTTCAGGTGTCAGAGAGTCTTCAGGTGCGGATCGTGGCGGGACGTCCCATTCACTGCCAGGTCCCGGGTATCGACCACCACCTGGTGAGCCGGGCGGCCGTGCGTGCCACCCTGGAGGCGGCCAAAGCCATCGCCCTGTCCCACCTGGGAACGCTGTTCATCGCTGAGACGGACGAAAGACGAATCAATCGCATCCAACAGGTCAATATTGACAGCACACACACTCTGATTAGACTTTAAGGCAGGCCTATTCAACTAAATTGCTCAGGAAGCCACAGTTATATAAAGCAAACAGCTTACGGGCCAGACCTCTGGGGTGGGGATGTTGCCTGCAAATGGTAGGGGAAACACAGCGTTATGTAAGAGAAGAAATATTATTACCTTTTATTTCCTGCGTTGAACTAGCCTGGTAAAAACCAGCCCCTTGTTCCTTGCTTTGCTTCATACAGAGGGTCTGGACTTACCGTTACTGAGAAACAATTTCTTGCTGGTGGTGTGGACTCTGTTGAAGTTTGAAACGATTTCATCTGATTTTACCCAATCTCTAACATTTGGCCATGACATATGCAGTGCGCTGGCTTCACCCTGAAGGAAGCTAAGCTAAGAAGCTCACCGGAAATTGTGTGCGCTGTGAACAACCGTCTGCTACTAGGAAGAGTGAAGTAGCCAAACGTGATGGCTGTAAATGATAGCTGCAGGCTTTGTGAGACAAATTTAATTTAATTTAGAAGTCTTGTCAACACAGACTGGCTTCATTCACATCATCCACTGCCAGTGCTAAACTACAGGCAGACTAAAACAGTGCAGAAAATCAACATCATCATTCATTTCGCTGATTGGCCCGGTTGAAATTCTACTGGAGAAATCCTTGTCAATGGGAGAAAGCCCAGACGGAGCAGAGAAGGAAGATTAGAATCAAATGGTATTAMATAGGAAGGCAATGGCCAGGCTAGAGTCAAACCATTAATTTAACAGGGTATATGCAGAAAATCTGATGTTAAATTTAATACCTTTTAATACCTTTTTAATTCCATCCCAATGTTTTTTAATACCAACACGACTTCAAGTTGAAACTGTAGTGGCAACCACTTCAACCTATTATTAAAATTACTGGATACATAGTTATTTCTTTGCCTTAATGAAACACTGATCTATACACAATTATTTGTTATTTAACCCTAAATTCAAGACAAAATATGTTTTCATTATGTGTAGGAAGAGCGGTGCTATCAGGTCGTCTGCTCTCGCATGTCCCAGGAACTCAGAACCAAAATACCCTGATGTCACACAACCATCCTCTAAATAACATCTGTGTGTGTCCATATCAATACATGTATTAAAACTTTTGTTGAACATGAGAATGAACGGTGCAGCTGTGTTATCACCCCACCACCACCACACATACAGTTTTACCCTCACAATCACCATCTTTTATCTGCATATACGTTGACAATACCAGCTAAAGAACGACTGTAAAGGATTCATCCATCAACTTCTTTAAAAAAATCAGTTTTCATTTTTTTCATACTGAGAGGGTTGCCTGCAATAGCTTTCAATTATCACCTTTTAAATTGATCAAAACTGCAAAAAAAATCCCTATTTATAAACTTTCTTGCATCTAAAAATACTTTCAATTAAAAACTATTATTGAAAATAATAAAACCTTACTAAACAAATCAAACAACAGAATCCACGTGAAAACTGTAAATTATGTTTCGTGTGATCCTGCATTAATTTACATAAAGTCTGATCCCAAATAAACAATTTAGCTCAAATTCCCAAAACCCTTTAATACTGTGTAGGATTTAAATTAGCTCATATTTATCTACAAACACATAAAACTGACATCTTCATAGAGAATACCCTCCCTGAGAGTTTTGGGGAAAAACGATGAAAAAAATCTGAGACACGGCTTTAATTTTCTTTTGTTTTGTTCAAACAAATATAACTGTTTTGTGTCGGTTTGTACCAGTAAACACACACCTGTTGATTGATGTTATCTCCTGGGTCATTCTTATGAAAGTCATCACTTTAATCTCCTCACCTGCTGCACCTGTCCGCTCCTCTCTTCTCCGCTCTGCTCCAGCTAACTTTAGCTACAGCTAGCATCCACCGACACACAGCTCCTCTCAGGGGGAGGAGTCAGTAATCTTTCTGCTGGTTTATCTTTTCTGACTTTTAACAATCATTCAGCTTTAATATTGTCTCGTTCTTTTTCAGACGTGTCCTGACAAATATGTTTTATTTAAAACACCGCTACAACTTCTGCTACTAGAGACACTTAAGTCC